GAGCATCTTGCACTGCCGTTAAGACTAACTTCCTGCATTTCATCGCTTGTGTTCCCAGCTCTGAAACACTCTTACACAACGGCGCTGCTGATACCAGCATGTTTCACACATTCCTGTTGTTAGCCGTATTCCAACGTCATGTTCACTGCCGCAGTTTTGTTCTAATTATTTGCTGTCAGGCTAATTTATATTTTCACTATTGAATAAATCAACATTTTAAATGAGCATTAAAAGTCACAATTGCTGCTTGAAGTGCGTAACATTTGATTCAAGACTATCTTCTAGTGGAAAAAAATAGAAATAGCATAAAAGAAATGTTTTCTTCCAACCAAAAGATAAGGCTCGGTAATAGGCGCGACTGCTTCACTTCCATTCTTGCTATAAAGTTACGCCTCGGCCTGTATCTAACCTGGTGAGCTCTAGGCACGGGCCAGCCATCTCCCACAGCACGAGGTGTTGATGCCAGGGTCCGAAGGCAGGCCCTGGACGCTGGAACGTCGTGCTCTAGCTAAGCAAAACGCCAGGATACTGAGGCACGCTCCACCACAGGCTGAGCTAACCTACCGACCCGTACACTGTTCCTCAGTATTTTCTCCTTTTTTCCAGATGTTTTAGTCCAAGCCCGACTAGTCCATTTGTCTTACAAAAATGGATACAACAGCATGGAGTATTTTTCACAGTTAGTATTTCATTTCTGATAAAAGGCACCTTCCAGCTACAGTGTACCTCATTATGACTGAATTACCAAGAACTGGAACAGACGAGATTCCGGTTAAGTCACTCACAGGGATGCCAGAAGTTTGGAGAGTAACAGCACTGGAACTCATCAACGTGCACACAACCCAAACTGGTGGAGACTTGTTGAGCCGTGCTCCCTGCCTGTAACACACTGCTACAGCCGCAGGTGCCTCCTCTGACCTATTGCTTTTCCATTTAGGCAGTTGTAGGCTTGCAGCGCTTACGCACCAGCTTCGTTTTGTTGCTCTAAGTATCCTGATGGAGTTCAAACTCTTCCCAACAGTTTCTTGGTGATTTCGATATTGCATCTACTGTCAAGAGACCCAATTACCACAGTTTCAAAATGCTGCTGCAAGATTAAAGATTAGTAACGAAGAGCCTGTGACAGGAGGGATCCAGACGCTTGGAGAGTACCCAGCTGAGGAACCAGACCCGGCTGCACAGCTTTCCAAGCAAAAGCACCATCTCTTTGCTTGACCAACTGCTTTAAGGCTATTCCCTTTCTCTCCCACAGCCCCCTTACATACCACACCACACATACCATACTAGCCTCTGCCATCTTAATATATGACACAACACCTGAGATACGAGATCTACTGTAACAGAAGCTCCAATGTCACTGTGCGAGAATCCTGAAGGTGCTTTTCTCTTTAGAACAGTTTCGATGTCAGATTTTCAGTAGGTTTAATACAACACATAACGAGCTTTCTCTCTGCTTGCCCAAAACTCGTGTAACACAAACCTTTACAAGTCTCAAACACAACACTCGGCTCTAATGCCCAGAATTCAGGAGCTGCAAGATGCTACAATGAAGGAAATAAGTACCATTGAACTTTCATACGCTATCAGCGCCTGAATAAATTGGAAGACAAATTGGAAGACAACTTACGAGAAGAATGTTTCTTCGTGGCTTTTTTTTTTTTTAATAGAGAAAGCTCTATAAACTAACCTCCCACTCCTCCATGATCTGCTGCCTGTCTTTTGGCAGGCAGCACCCTGTTGCCTGGGCTTGGTAGGTACCAGGCTCCTACCAAGCTAGAAAAGCAGCACATGTCAGTGTCCAGTCACAGATTTCAGCTCAGAAGAGGAAAAAGTTTGGTGTCCCCCCCCTGCCCCGAGCTGTGAGACTAACAGCCCTAACTAAACTCTACAGTTCACAGATTAAAGAGACGCTATCTCAAAGCATACAAAGCACAAGATATAGGCAGTTCTAAAGCCATACCGACTTGCTTATGTAGCATGCCTACACATACAGGTAAGATTTGAAAAATATTCACTCACATTTTCTCGAAGGTTTCATATCGCTGTATGCTGGTTAGTTGAACTCTTCTGTAGCTTTCTTCTCATCAACTCCCACCCAGCTACTAAAGAACAGGTCACAGCAGATCTTGTCATCAAATAGGCAACTGCCAGGTGGCCATTTGGTGTGTCCCTAATCAGGCGAGCAGCCTCACCCAAAAAAATCTGGAGAAAATCAGCTCACCCAGCTGCTGCCTATAGCAAAGCCATTCTTAAAGGTGACCTGGCTTACATTTAGGAGCATGATCAGGAAGGCAAGGAAGGCTACCGGAGCAAAACAAAAAGAAGTTGCCTTGTAAAATGGCTCCTGTTACACCGGAGATCCACTTGTGGATGCCTCTTCTTGTTACAGGAGTTGTAACAGCAAAACAATTTTCATGAAACTTTGTACCCCCAGCCCCGTGGGTGGGGTGTGGAGCAAAGCTGGCAAGCCCTTTTAAGATAAAGAAATATTTTTCAACTGTGGTCTGTGCATCTCTAAGGGTGTATGGAAGACTGCTGATAGGCTTAACTTCACTTTACCATGACAGACACCTAAAAGAGAAATATTTTAGGAATCTGCAAACTTAAAAACGTCAACAGTCCACTTAAGGATGTTAACCTTTAGTGCTGAAGACTTCTGTGACAACTTATTCAGCTGCCAGGCATTACAATAAAGCACCCTGCTCTGGCCTTGGCATCTTAGTTAAAGTCATATTCTTCAGAATGGTGATTACGGCTTCAAATGAATATCATTATTTATTTAATACACATGTAAACCAATCTGCATAGTCTTATATGCAGAAAGACTATATTGCTTTTTCATACTGTTATATGTAGCCTACATATGGCTAAATTATAAAGGAGAGAACTCTACTCCCAACGGAAGAAAAAAAATCAACAGTATACTGATTGAGATAAGGGATATATGAGCAGTGCTCAGAAATTAACAGCCGTGTTTTGCAAATTAATTTTATATACACACAAATAGATGGTTTAAAAAAATATAATTCACTGAATAGAGCACATCCATGTCTGTTCTGTCACTGCCATGGTTTTGAGGCTGACACCTCAGCTGACCAGTACCCTGTAAAAAACGTTCTAATATTTAAAGCCTTATAAGCATGCCTAGCGAGCTATAGCAAAGCATAGATGGGTCATAAAATATCTGGGGGTCTTAAAAAGTAGTAACAACTGTTGTCAGCAATGTGAGCATAGCAGGGAAAACTGTTTAATGAAATTGGGTAGTGCGAGAGAAGCTTGCAGGGGTTGCTTGTTGCAGATGGAATTAAACACATTCAAGTGTTAAACAAAACCAGGCATGGAAACAACATGGTTTTGCTCTGAAGCCTGGTGTTGAAGATCCAAAGTCATTTGTCTGTGTAATGAAACACAATCACCTACTTTTCCCTCTAGCATGACTTTAATAGTTAAAAATCAAATCTGTGCAGAGTGTACTTTATTTGTTCACATTACCTATTTGTGGTTAAAAACCACTTCATCTGACAGTTTAAAAGCATTCTTTTAAAACAAAAGAATTAAACATACCTTCTGCTAAAAAATCTGCAAGTTACATGGATGCAATATACAGGAGTATAAAAAAATCAACAGTATTCTACAGAAAATATTCTCAAAACAGCAAATAAAGATTAGGCGTGTAGGCATGATCCTGAACTGAACAAATATGAATTAAAAAACAGCTAACAAAATTTAAAAAAAAAATCCTGAATATCTGTATAAAAGAAGCAAGGATTCAAAGTGCAGGTGCTCCCGTTTTCATTTTAACATATTATTCAGTAAGTTGATACAGGATACTATTCATTTCATATAAAGTGACAGTGTTCTCAGTAAGACTTAAACGTTCAGTTACATTATCTTGCAGATTTTTTTCATTACTGCTACTTTACACTGGTGTAAATGAAGACTTATGCAATACAGGTTTTTATTTTCTTAATCTAACAAGGATATAATAGGTTGGTGGTAAAGGTTAGTTTTAAGAGCTAAGCTATATATGCTGTAGATCCAGCCTTAGAAGTGTATATATATAATTTTTTTTTTTTTTAACTTTTAAAAACAGCTTTCAATTTTTAAAAAGACACTCCACCAATCTGTTCTGGGACCTGCATACACTGTCTTTGGAGCACACCAGCAAAGCTTCCAACTCCACTGGTTAGGAATACAGCTCCAGGCAGCGTCATGCTGGAGATCTTCCCTTGGCGGCCACGGCTGGGCAAGGGCTTTCTCTCTGCTGTGTTTGGTGCAGCCAGCGGCCACTGAACCCAGGGAAAGGCAAATGGGCTCTGCCTTCTGTCGGAGCAGAAATCATCACATTTAACCACATTTGCCTGATGTGCCAGCTAGGCTTGGGATGGACTTCTCACTTTTATTTGAGCATACCTTCCTCAAGCAGAGGAAGTTAGGACCCAGGCAGGTGTCACTGAAGTGATCTTTCACATATTCAAAAAAATGAAATTGAAGCATATGTTAAAACCCATTATCCTGTTTGGAAAAAAAAAAAAAAAGAAATAGAATTATCCTTCAGGGATGTTGCCTGGAACTTAATTTCACTGGAGGTCCTATTCGGGTTGACAGTGTCCCTTTAAATTTTAGGTATGTCCTGTTTTGTTCATTTTTTCCCAAGAATCAGCTCTCTATATATGTCTATTTTAAAAATGCACATAAATATCAGCATTAAGTTTACATTTAGAAATTAAGAACTAATCTTTACCATTTTATATTGACAGCAAGGTTAATAATACACACACTTCACGGACAATTGTTTTTTTTTTCCCTGTATTTTGAATAAAATTTGCATTTGTGTAACATTTCCCACAGAAAGAGTGACTATACTTCAAGATAGTTAACTTTGCACCCCAACATTTTCACATTAGTGAAAACAATCATCTTTTGAAAATACCAGGGCCTGTGCCAGGTACTAATAAATACAGAATAAAAAAAATAAATAAAAAAAACCCGACTGCCTTTTATCCCGACATAGTAGAGATTTCATAGTCACTGGCCGAGGTTATTGGTTTACCCATCATCCTTACGTTTTTAGCATTAGTAATCCTAGCCATCATGGACACAGGCTTGTCAAAGTACCTAACCAGCGCTGGCTCAGTCAAAAGGGAGGCTAAAAATTGTTCAAAGGTAATGGCCCAGTCTCGGTCAATGCTAGTGCTTCTACGAAGAGAAGTGGTGTGGTTGCTCCGTACCAAAACGGTGTCTTCACCGATGTCCTCGCAGTGCAGCTTTTCTTCTTCATGCGAACCTGCGCTCAGTACTGAGTAGGAGGACATCGAACTATCATCTTTTGTATCATCATCGGAAATGAGCATGGAAGAACAGGCTCCGTTGTCCCTGGGAGAAGAGTCTTCGAGCTTAATGTCTTCCATCTGCATGCTCAGGGCGCTGTCGGTGCAAACGCCCTCCTCATCGTTGGTGACGAGGCTGCTTTGGAACGGCTTGTGCTGTTCAAGGGGGTACTGCAGGTGCTCTTTCTTCTGAAACAGTTCGCTCTGAATAGTTTTGCTGCAATTGTTACTGCTGCTGTCTGTCTCTTTTGTGGGCTGCACACTGAAGAGCTTACCAACCTCACCTATCTCCAAAAGCAAGCTTGTCACAGCAGCGGTAGCGTGGTACAGATCTTGTTCATTGGGGTCTTCACTGAACATATTGTACATTGTCTTACACAGTTCAATGAACTGTCCCTAAACACAGAGGGTGGAAACATTAATGAGAGAGCAGGAAACAAATCAGACTGAGATCTACTAAATCAGCCTAAAAAGTCTGGAGTGGAGGTATAACACAATAATTTATGTGATTAAACTGAAAGTGGAAATAATCTAGGTGCAGTCTAGAGAGCATTTTCTATGACTTGGCAGCCAGATGTGTTGCTTCTCTTAAAGCTATTTAGAATAAACCGTTGGATGCTTCTTCCAACATATGACAAATTTATTTCTCTGCAGCCACAGGAGGGCAACAGAGGGTGAGCAGTGAGACACTTAGCATTCATTTTGGAGAATAAACTGTTGGATGTTTCTTCCAACATATGACATTTATTTCTCTGCAGCCACAGGAGGGCAACAGAGGGTGAGCAGTGAGACACTTAGCATTCATTTTGGTGCGTTTTCTCGTAGGAATGATGCTAAGTATAACTAAGGGTCTGATAAAACTAGTAAGAAGCAATGAAAAATGAAATAAGAGACCTACGGTACTCCTTTAATTGTCAGTGGTAACTTAGTTGGATGCGAGCCTTTTGGAATTCAAAACTCACAAATTAAATAGGAAGGAGATTTGCTTAGGGCTACCTTAAGTAAGAAGCATTGTTCTACAGGGAGTAAACCTTCCCTACATGCTCTGGACGAAATAGCTCTCCCAATGGGTCTCCTCCTCCTTAGCAGCTATGGATCTAAGGGGAATGAGACTGACAGTATAAATTACAAAACATAAAATGCTTCTTTCAGGTAATGTGTAAAGGCCATTATGAGCTAGCTGGTAATATTCAGTGTCATATCACCCTTTGTCCAAAGATCAAAAGAATATGTTATCATTCTTATATGTGTATAGCTCATTTTTAGGATGTTTTGGGAGCCGAATGCCAGTTACAGTATGTTGAAAACAACTAACTTCTGTAATCAGCTGACTGCTGCTCTGGTAAAAAACAGTATCTGCCTCAAAATAAAACCTTTATTCAGTGTTAATGTATTAAATATTTATAGGTATGTGAAGAAAGCTTAAAGTTAATGAAAAATAAGTAAGTGTCAGCAGAAGTACCTGATTCAGTTTGGGCAAGTCCTTTGTGTTTTTTGCTTTGGATTTATTCTCTTGGCTCCACATTCTCAGATAATTTCGATTCTCTTGTGAGCTCTTCTTGCCTATTGTCAACAAATTACCCAGAGATGCAGGAAAAGTCCATGAAGAAACCTTAAATTAGTACTTTTTTTTTCCATTTTCAAAGGAGCATCTTTACAAGAAATGAAAGATGTAATTCAAACTGAGACACCATGCATACCTTTGTCTGGTTTCAGACTCACTGTAACAAACCCATCATCTACTCCTTGTTTGTTCCTGCTGTCTAGGCCAACAACTAGGAAGTGGAGGGGTGGGGGGAGAGAGAGATCAGTGTGGTTTTAGATACATACATACTTTTCATGTGTACAGCGCAAAATAAAGAAAATGTTTACACTGCAGAAAATGCAGAGTAAAAACGATAGGACTAAATTATGATTTTTGCTTATTCTTAAACCTGCTGGCAAATTCCCTTTAAGTAACAATATAAATACTAAGACAGGGACCATCTCAAGTTTTGTTTGTGCAGTACAATAATTAGCCTGTGTTACCACAACACAAACAGCTTCTAGCATGATATATGTTTGGTGATTATATTAGTGCATCTTCTTTTGTCTATGAGGACTTAAAATTGCCGCCTCTAATCTACTAATTCTTATCTGTATTATCAAACAACCTTCCTTCCCCCTGTTATCTGAAGGATGGGCAATATTTTTCTTGAATCAGAGAGAAACTTAACATCAAATATCTCAAGAAAGAGAATGCCATTCAAGACAACAGCGGTGAGACCCAGGTTCTCATTAGGGCACAAAAAGATTTCAAACTGCTGAATTACATTTTGAAATATCTTTCGGCTTCAGTTTTTTAGAATATTTTAAGTTCTGATCCAAATATTTCTTGAAAGCCAATATACTCATTCTCATTCTCCATCAAAGCATATATGCTGCACTTATCACAAAATTACTTCTATTGCAACACACTGATGACATTATTCTGAGAGTACTTCTGCAACGCACAGTCCAGGGGAGTTCTTAGTGTACACACGCCTGCACCTCTCAAGATATCAAAATATATACAAGGACTACACACTTCTTTTTACAGAGAATACTTCACTTACAAAGTTTAATCCAACAAAAAAGTAGCTTCCTAAAAAGACATGTTGTTTGAAATGCATTACCTCATCTTTTCATGCCCGAGACAAAAGATGCCTACCGTGTGTACATTCGGGTGTGATGTCTTCAAAAAAGTACTGAGTAGCTTCAAAAGCAGAGTCTGGCTCTTCTTGCTCAGGGGATGGATCTAAGCAATATTATAAAATTCTTTCATTAAAAACTCCACCCTTTAATTAAAAACTAAAACATATTTCCATGCATTTAGAATGTCAGTTTCTAGAAGTAAAAGTGTGAGGCTGTGATGGGTTAGCAATCGCCTCTTTTCAGCTCACAGGAGATGAACAACTGGACCTGCATTCTCCTCGATATCCAATACTGTCTGACTAACAGGTAGCTGCCTTCGGAGGCTGACTTGCCCATCTTCCCATGTCTACTTCCATTACTTTCTTCTGTGCAGCTCAGCGTGTCCTAAGCAGAGGATGAACCCTTTCCTAAGTGGAAACAGTCTGTCATGATTTGGTATGAGCTTACCAGTCCCCGAATACCAGAAGCTGCATTCTTAAAAATTGGATCTCTTCTGTTATAGTTCAATAAAATTGTATTTTTTTTCCCAGTTAAATTAGTGAATCACTCAAGCCTACCTCCAGCAAAGCCAACTGGGAGCAATCAGGGACACATGTTCAAAGCACACGAAGGTGAATGTCCTCTCAAAGCTTTTAGGTATCTTTACCAGAGGATGTAAATGTGCACAAGAACTAAACTACCCAAACAGTTGCAACATACTTAAATCACAGATTCAGCGAGGACAGCAATAGGTTCTTCATGGCACACGTGTGACAAGCCAGAGAGGATATAGTTCTAAGACATCATCTTCTCCAGGGGCAAAACTGTTTTGAGATGTTTCCATCCCCTCTCCACCCTAAACCGCCTTTCTCACTTAGCTGAGTCCAACAGTTTGTACAGCTCCCTTGAAAACACATCTACGAAACGAGCTGGAGCTTCTCTCTGCAAACAGTTGTATCAGCCCCAAGGGAAAACCAAGAAGAAAGCCTGGGGACAGAAACTAGTAGCCAGGACATGCAGGAACATGTTAACCTAGTTTCACTGTCAAATAAAGTGCATTATAGTAACAAATGCTGAAGAACACTGTCTTTGTTATGCATGGGGGAAGTCACCAAGCCCAGCTAAACAGGCAAGAGACACATATAAATGGCCTGTTTATGGCCGGAGCAATAGCGGGCTGCATGGGTGCTTTCAGACTTTCCAAATCCATGTCTGGTTATGCTAGAAGCTCTCTTATTTTACTGCTGCATAAACAGCTACAATAATTCCCACGAATTAATTTTTAATTGGGAAAGCTAGTCACAAACAACTCTGCTCCAAATTTCTGTTCTCAAGATGACAGCTGTTTTAACATCATTTACTTACCAGGCAAAACATGCATTTTATACAGTAGCTTCAGCTTCTCTGTAAGATCTCCATGGCATGCTGCACCTAAACATCATCATATACAGTACGTTAATACTCAGGATTCAATGCCATTCTATTTATTACTGCTACAATACTTTGTTTTAGAAGCTGCTACATTCATTCTGGGAAGCACTGTACTCCCTTTACAGCCTGAGATCATAAGGCAGTCACTTGACTTCTAGGATCATACGGTCTGCAGTAGAAATAGCAAGAGAACACAGACCACCTTACCCTGAATTTTGTACTTCAATCTTGGGTCCTTCATTAAATGGTTATTTTAAATGCTCAGAAATAATCTATGATCATCACATTACCACCCAGAAAGGCCTCCAGCTGAAAGTTAAGAAGACCTTTTTGTGTGGACTTCAAACTTTCTGATCTGAGGATCCAATAATAACACCACATGACTTAGAACAATAAGATATTTACCAAAAAAAGAGAGAGAAATTCAAGTAAACAGCATTTATCACAGCTTAGCCACAGGCTAAACCCAAGTTCAGGCAACACTTTCTAGTGATTTATCCACCTCGACCCCTATTCCTTTCTGGCCTACACTACAATTAGCTGTATGAAAACCAAGCAGTCTATTGTAGTCCCTCCTTCCAATTAATTAATGAATATTAGTTAATTTTAAAGTACTGAAATAACCAACAATCAGACTTCTTCATAAATCTTGCTTGTTATGACAGGTAATTCATAAACAAATTAATTAACCTTCATTAATTAGGTTATGCAGAGATTGATTTCACCTTGCAGGCTACGGTGTCAACTTACCTCTGCTATGGAAACTACAAAGAGTGGTTTGGCACATACTAACAATCACAGTCCACTGTAAAGCTTAAGACTACAATAAATACAGATGTGAGGCCAAAGAATTGAGTATGTCTACATTAGCCATTTTGCTTTCAACTTGGTCCTTTTTAAGCACAAAATCTCCTTATGTTCTTATCTGGTGTACCACACCATGCAGATAATGCCTTCTCTTCTGGTGAAACCATGTCTTGGGTTATGCACCCAGGTACCACGTGAAGTGCCCCGCTGCTAACGGTGACATGAAATAACCAAAGCACAGCATGGGCTGCAGTTCTGCGTCCTCTGGCAACAGCTAGGGATGCATTCACCAAAATAGGATTCAGGGCACAGGATATCTGGTTCAGGCACAGGATATCTTGTCCCTCTCCCTGTCCCCAGATGTGAAGAGAAGTGAAAAAGCTCAACTGCTACTGCTTTTTGCTTTTTCCCTGAGATGAATCTGTGTGTGCTTCCTAATGCCAGGCCCTTTTTCCGCTCAAAATGTACGTGAATGAAGACAATGCAACGCTGGACAAGTCTACCAAGTATGTTATCTGGACTCTCTCAAAGACAACCCTCTGGGTCTCTCCTGGGAGAGGTCAGAAAGTTTTACAAAGGGAAGAACAGCCTACTGGCAATTTGCAGGAACTCCCTGATAGTTAGCTGCAGTGGGTTACCCAAGATCTGAGGACTGATACTGTATTAAACAATAAAAAAAATTAGGCTACATTCATAAAGACAACAGAAGGGGAACGGACCTCTGGTAGATATGCCCCTATTATGGAGAGTTAGAGAAGACCTTTGTATGGGTGGATACCTCAGCTCAGGCCACCATTTTGACCCGCACGCTGCGGTACAGGGATAATTTCATAGGAGAGCCCAGAGAATTCAGTGGCCTCCTGCATGGCCCCTGCATCCTTGAACAGCAAAGCAGATGACCCTGCTGAGGGCCTGTGAACAGCAATGGGGAGGTGGTTAAGACCATTCTTTGTCCCACACAGAAATGATTCCCTCCTGGCACTCTGGAGCCACAAGTCTTAAAACCTTCAGCAACTTCCAACAAGTCTTTTTGCAGTATGAGTGTCAGATGATGCATTGCCAGTTTTTATCCAGAAGTTTTAAATTTATTTTGTGGTAAGAGAAGAAACTGTGCTTGGAAGAGAGCATGACTACACCCTTTGAATCTTTCTACCTGAAACAGCAACAGTGAAAGCTATCACCTTCACACTGCAATCAATGTCCTCACAGACACCCGCTCTTACCCCTCTCAGGGCTTGACCACCACATCCCTTTTCATGGCATGACCAGGAACAACCTTCACTGAGCCGCCTTTCTGACTGTTCTCCTTCTGTCAACACTATGCAGGTGTCAAGTCTTTTCTGGGCATAATGCCATATGTGCACAGTTTTCCCTCTGTCGTCTTTGAGGCCATTAACAAAGTAACTAAACTGGTAGAACTTTGTTAATACAAAACTCAGTAGCAACATAAAAGTGCTGGCTTCAGTTGCCCCACTCTTGAACACAGGTGGAGGGGCGCAGAGTGTTTGTACAGCATTTAGTTCCCTGAAAGGATTGGAGGAGTGATGAGGTTAACACTCTGCTTTCTGAACATCCTCCTGCAACCTGTGCTTGCAGAAAAGCTGTTTTCAGAAAAAAAAAATACACACTCAGGTACTCCTTGAGAGACAGTTTTCACGGTGCCGACTTTTGCACGAGGCTGAGGCGAGTGCTGCAGTCACCAGCTGGAGAGGTGGAAGAGCTGCATGCTCTGAGAAGCGAGTATTGCAAAAACATGATAGGAGGCAGGGGGCCACATTGAGTCTATGTGGAAATCTCTCTAGCTTACAGGGATCCCAAGTCAACAACTGACATGCTATAATCCAGTGTGATATGGGGGTGCAGGTGAGCTTCTTCACAAGTGAATACTCCAAACAGCTCATAACCAAGGCTGACAACCCTTTTTGAGCAGCACAACTCCTAGAGTAAACTAATCAAGATCACTCCTTTATTTGAACTTGCAGAGTAAATGTACAGAAGAATATGTCAGGTTGTTCCATCTTTGCTCACCTGAGGCCCTAGAGGCACCTGAAGTAGGAGGTTCTTGAGCTATTTGCTGCAGGGGCTATGAAAAGGAAATGGAAATTCCCAGATGCAATTACAGCACTCTCATATCCCAAGGATTTCATGCTGACACAGAAGAAAGGCCACGAGCCCGTGCTGGGCCACACAGCACCCCTTTTTACCTCCTCTTCATGGAGCTCATAGAAGGAGTCAGTGGCACCAGAGAGGCCTCGAGGGAACAAATTCTTATGGCTACATGGAATAAGGTCATTGAAAGAGAGTGTTGTGAAACGGAAATGCTTCAGGTGCCATGGCTGCTTCAGCCATCAACAAGCACCCTCTGAGATGGGCCATGCCTAGGAAGTACTTGAATAGGACGCTTCCTTTAGGAAAGATACGACTTGAGTAACCAGGGCCAGAGTCCAATACTGCTGTTTGGACACCGTAAGAAGAGAGAGAACGGTGCCCACAGGTCACCTCCTGAATGCCCATCCTCTGACTATGCCTTCCAGGACAGCCACAAGGAAAAGGCAACAGTCCCCTGTTGAGCAGAAGCGTCTTGCTCCAACAGAAGATATTCCTCATTCAGGAGATTTTCCTCACCAAGGCATGTTGGATTGGTGAGGCAGACTGAAGCAGCTGATGTTTGTGGAATCTGTAAGAGTCCTAGGGCATGATGAAATATGCTCAAACAAATCCCATGTTGTTTTTGTTGACTGTGTTGTCCTTGCTACCTTTCACGTGCTTCTTAAACAAAAAAGGGGTTGGGGGGGGTTGACTTTTTAAAAAAAAAAAGTTTTCAAGCTATGCCACATTGGGCTTAGTTTCCGAAAAAATGTGGTTTTGCTGAATGAACAGTTTTGATTGTTTAGCCCATTGAAGATTTTAGTTCAGTCATGTTGGCTTATAGCCACATTTGTGCATTTTACATTCATTTCTGTTCACAGTGTTCAACACTGTTCCTTGTTCTTAATATTCATTATTGGTTCTAAAAAATGCTGTCTCAACCAATAACTGGTTGATTCTTATTAACAGCATCCTGTAAGCAGCAAGAGTAGTTAAACCATCAGTCACGTCTCAAAAGGCCATTAAGTACTACCTGGCAAACAGTCTCTCCAATACAATTCAGAACTGCATCGCAGTAAGCACTGTTTTTTTGGGTGGTGTGAAGGGGAGGTGTGCAATCAGTTTTACTGTCACATAGCTATTTTGCACCTGTGAGAGAACAGGTATTACCGTTGTTGTACATAGGTTTTAATGCAAGGCTGCATTTGGAGCCCTAATGCTTAAAAATACTGTTACAAAAAGTTGATGAAAGCCAGATTGGGAAACCTTTTCTCTCTCAAAAAGGATCAAAGTGTAAAGCTGGAGGAAACGTCAGGTTGCCATGAAATAACACATGATAGATGATGAGATGTTGGTCACTTTCTGGGAATAATTCCTGCTACATTCAAAAAAGGGGTGGCCAGCTCCTACCTCATCTTTGCTTCTTCATGTTAATCCTGGGGCTTGCACATTCCCTTTGTTGCGATATTGACTTGAAATCTTGCTTCTTCAAGACTTGCATGGGCCATAATCTCCATTAATGACATTCAGCCTTCCTATTTGACCTGCACCTCCACTTTCTCCTTTTTAGGTGACTTCCATCCTGCTCTCTCTCTTAGTCTGCAGTCTTGGTTATTGATTCCAGAAGTAATATAGGTAGTACCTCTCACTGCATATACTGTGAGGTATGATACCTTCCCCTCACAAAGGGACACATGTATGTGGGGTGTCAGCAGACTTCTAAAGAGAAGCACTTTGATTCAGGGGCAAACAAAACTAGCATCCTCACTCTATCCTTTCCCTGCCCCTTACATGTGCACATAAATTTCTCAAAAGTCTTCCTGAACAAGCAAGGGAGCAACTGCTGCCTCTCTCCCCCTCCCAGAGTTGGTAGCACTGACAAAAGGTATAAATTCCCAACTTTCAGGGAAAGTTTAAGAAGCAGATAACAAAATGCAGTGTCACTGAGAGAAACACTACAGAAGAACATACTTTCCCAAAGGAAATACTTTGATTAGAAGTAATCACACCATTAAGCACACAAGTTGCAGGTCATTTTTGTGTTGAGAGTTAGCGGTCAGGGAAATCCTCAGACCCTAACGGACGCGTAGTTCATGTATGGTCCTTCTCCCAGTGTGATACACCACTGGTTAATGTAGATGCACCTACTGAGACCAGCCTAAACCCCAGTGGGAACCCACTGTCACAGGCATGATAAAATGAGCTGAACGATAGCACGAACAGCTCTTAAAACAAAGGTGATTTATGCAAATTGGCATACGTCAAACTCATTATCTGATAGCTAATACAACATCTGTGTTTCTGAAGGACTGGATCCCCTTTAGAAACAAACTGCTTTGGTCAGATTATTTTGAGAGTGCTGTGAATTCTCCTTACTTAGCCCAGAGACGAATTCACGGAAGTTGATGAGCAAGTCTCCATTTTCATCAAGAAGCCTGAATAAGCGCGCAGCTAATACATCTGAATGAGTTCCACATGCCCAAGGAAAGAGGAGAGCAAACATCCCCTTGAACTGCTCAAAGTCAATACGGTACTGCTCCAGATAAGGCAGGCTGGGATCATGCCGGTCAATAGCATTGCTGTTTCCTCCCCAGTAGCAGCTAGTCAGATGTTCTGCCTGAACAGAAGGCAAATGCTGTGAGATTGTCATCACCTCTATAAACAACTCATCACTATCAATGATAAAAAAACCCTCATACACACATATTCTTAAAACAACACAAGACTAGCAGATGTATTTCCATCTACCCAGCCCTTGCACTTCTGCAAGAGGTTTCTCCTCTAACCAGCACAAAAAGACATCCCTCTACAAAAAAAAGATAAAGCAAAACTTTTTCCGCCTCCCAGGCATATGAAACGTGAAATACCTGTTTTGAACAGAGCAGTAAGCAACTGTGACTTGCATATACACACAGGCTTGTTGTGCTTAGTCACCACACAGTCAAATCAGAAAGGGGACTCTCATGAAATCTTTAATTTCAGAGAATATGAAAATAGTTTATTTAAAATATTTTTTGTTGAACTGTATAGTCTCAAAAATACTGTATGAAGTCTTACTCTTTCAGTCTTACTGAAGTCAGTGAATGTTCTGGAGCTGATTTTGGTGGAATCTAATTCAAAACGATTCAGAAGCTTAGAGAAAGAGATCCTAGCACTGCACAGGATCAACCGGGATGGATTGTCTGACTTGGTCTCACTGATTCCACGGAAGACTGAAAGAAGGCACTGCAGGATTTGGACAATTGTAAGACCTGACACTACAGATAGGAAATTGAAAGGAAAGAAATTCTTCATGGTATATAAAAAAATATCTGTTATAACAAAGCAGAGGAAGAAAGTATCTTGTTTTAAGGCAATGCTAAAGCATTTTAACTGCTCACCTTTAAATTTGTGGATCTAATGGTATTGCTGTACAATCAACTTACAAAGACACATCACTTTGTGACACTAAATTCCCATGTAATACAGTATACATTAAAGCATTAACAATGGCAAAAAATCAGCTGTTGTGATATGGAAGTATTAACTGGCTGAGCTAATGCAATAAAGGTATTCCTGTGCTATATTCCAAAACCTGGGTCAGGTAGAGAGAGACATACATAAGTTTGTAAAGACTGATCAAAAGCCTCTATCTATTCACTTTGTCATTATAATAGTTTTCATCAGTATACTCCTTTTTTCCATAGACAAATCATTTCGTGAATTACTTACTTCCTGAGCTTTTAAAAACTGGTTGGGGTTTTTTTGTATATTCAATAATACAGCAGCTAATTCAAGTTTGTATTAAGATACCTGATAGTAAGTAACTCACAGACTCAACCTGGTCTTTAGAAAAGACACAGTCCCATACCAAAAATAAATGTTTGCATTTACTGCAGGCACATGATCTTATCTTCACTTAGCTTTACCTTGAAAAGAGCATACAGTTCCTCCAGTTCATCGATAGTAAAAGAAGTCTCTGTCACAATAGTTCGTACCTTTTGAAACATAACATTAACAGTTACGGTTTTGAAATCCATGTCTCATTGAAAAGCTAATTTAAATTTCAGAAACTGACTGACCTTAATCTTTGCAAAGAACATTATTTCAGTACTTACCACATTGCGCTTTGTAGTATCTTCAAGGGTTTGGATAACTTTCAGCCTTTGTTTGAATCTCATTTGTTCAATTAAATCTGCTCGGATACTTCCAAATTTCTTAAAAGAGAAAAAGAACAGGATAGTCTGTGTATTAATATTTGGAATACTTAGCTTGCCTTTAATGTATTTGGGAAATTAATTTAATTATGTGATATACCACATAACTGCTGTCAAGGCATTTTTCTAACATATGACAAAGTTACGAAGACTTTAGGAATCATAGAATGGTTTGGGTTGGAAGGGACCTTAAAGACCATCTAGTTCCAACCCTCCTGCCATGGGCAGGGACATCTTCCACTAGACCAGGTTGCTCAAAGCCCCATCCAACCTGGCCTTGAACACTTCCAGGGATGGGGCATCCACAACTTCTCTGGGCAACCTGTTCCAGTGCCTCACCACCCTCACAGTGAAGAATTTCTTCCTTACATCTAATCTAAATCTACCCTCCTTCAGTTTAAAGCCATTACCCCTTTTCCTATCACTACATGCCCTTGTAAAAAGTCCCTCTCCAGCTTTCTTGTAGGCCCCCTTCAGGTACTAGAAGGCTGCTATAAGGTCCCCCCGGAGCCTTCTCTTCTCCAGGCTGAACAAGCCCAACTCTCTCAGCCTGTCTTCATAGGACAGGTGCTCCAGTCCTCTGATCATCTTTGTCGCCCTCCTTTGGACTTGCTCCAACAGGTCCATGTCCTTCTTATGTTGGGGGCCCCAGAGCTGGAGGAACCTCACTGCAGGTGAGGTTCTCACGAGAGCGGAGTAGAGGAGCAGGATCACCTCCCTCGACCTGCTGGTCACGCTTCTTTTCATGTAGCCCAGGATACGGTTGGCTTTCTGGGCTGCAAGCACACATTGCCAGGTCACGTTGAGCTTTCTCATCAACCAACACCCCCAAGTCCTTCTCCTCAGGGCTGCTCTCAATCCATTCTTCACCCAGCCTGTATTTGTGCTTGGGACTGCGCCGACCCATGTGCAGGACCTCGCACTTGGCCTTGTTGAACTTCATGAGGTTCACACGGGCCCACCTCTCAAGCCTGTCAAGGTGCCTCTGGATGGCATCCCTTCCCTCCAGTGTGTCGACCGCACCACACAGCTTGGTGTCGTTGGCAAACTTGCTGAGGGTGCACTCAATCCCACTGTCTGTGTCACTGACAAAGATAGTAAACAGCGCTGGTCCCAACACCAACCCCTGAGGAATGTAATTTGTCACTGGTCTCCACTTGGGACATCGAGCCGTTGACTGCAACTCTTTGAGTGCGACCATCCAGCCAATTCCTTATCCACTGAGTGGTCTGTCTGTCAAATCCGTGTCTCTGCAATTTAGAGATAAGGATGTCGTGCGGGACAGTGTCAAATGCTTTGCACAGGTCCAGGTAGATGACATCAGTTGCTCTTCCCTTATACGCCAACACTGTAACCCCGTCGTAGAAGGCCACCAAATTTGTCAGGCATGATTTGCCCTTAGTGAAGCCATGTTGGCTGTCACCAATTATCTCCTTATTTTCCATGTGCCTTAGCATAGTTTCCGGGAGGATCTGCTCCATGATCTTCCCAGGCACAGAGGTGAGACTGACTGGCCTGTAGTTTCCTGGGTCTTCCTTTTCTCCCTTTTTAAAAATGGGGGTTCTGTTTCCCCTTTTCAGTCAGTGGGAACTTCACTGGACTGCCACGACTTCTCAAATATGATGGATAGTGGCTTAGCAACTTCATCCCTCAGTTCCCTCAGGACCAGCGGATTCATCTCATCAGGTCCCATGGACTTGTGCACCTTCAGGTTCCTTAGATGGTCTCGAACCTGATCTTCTCCTACAGTGGGCGGCTCTTCATTCTCCCAGTCCCTGCCTTTGCCTTCTGCGGCTTGGGTGGGGTGGCTTGAGCACTTGCTGGTGAAGACTGAGGCAAAAAAGTCATTGAGTACCTCAGCCTTCTCCATATCCCGGGTAGCCAGGTCTCCCGTTTCCTACCGGAGAGGGCCCACATTTCCCACATTTCTTTTATCCCCGACGTACCTATAGAAGCTTTTCTTGTTGCCCTTGACGTCCCTGACCAGATTTAATTCTATCAGGGCTTTAGCTTTCCTAACCTGATCCCTAGCTGCTCGGACAATTTCTCTGTATTCCTCCCAGGCTAC